GAAAACTAAGTTATTTTTAATACATAATAATTATCACCAAGAAATGTTCAATACTAATTTTGAAAATTTTTTATTTTAAAAAAATATAACTATTTTTTTAAGTGACCTATTTTCTATGGCAAAAATAGTTGTATGCTATTTTGTATTGTGATGCAACCAAATAGTAAAAGTAATTAATTTTTCAAAACCATTTGCTATGAAATTCACTTTTTAAAAGGAATTTATTTTTCAAAATACAAATGAGACTATAGGTAAATGTGTGGTTTGAGAACATCTGAGATTTTTAGGGAGAAAGAATTTAATATAGCAAATATTCTTATCACATGTATTGATATAGTAATCATAACCAAGCCGAGTCATAGTCGCCATTGATATACCGATGCCTCATAAATATATAGGTAACCATAGGTCAATTATAAGGCTTAGTAATCCATATTACAAATCATAACAACTTAAGGAAATTAAAACTTCATAGGTTGTTTTGTAATAAAAAATTTTAATTCTCTTGCACAACAAACCTCTACTGTCTATCAACAAGCTAAAAAAAATATAGACAAAGTTTAACTATCCTAATATTTTAGGAAAAAAGGGATAGAAATTAGATAAATAATTAAACTTGCATATATAATCATTCATATTCATATTCATAATGAGTTGATAGGTTGCATACAATTTCTAAAGGCATAAAAATTGATTATTCATGTAGCTATAAAAAGAAAAAACAATCTACAGAGGAGTACATTCCTAAATTCAATGACTAATATGGTGATTGTGCAACAAATCCTTTTATTTAGTTCATTACTGACTTAAATAACTTTTCACTAATTCTCTATGCTATTATCTAATTATATCAATAGTTGTAAAAAGATAGAAACTCATTGTTAAGAACACTTTTATGTAACAAAACCAAAAATAACATTGGATGACTTAACTAATATAGTCCAGGATTCAAACTAGTATATAAAAATCTATAAAAATCTATGTTTTTTATTTTAAAACTTTTAAATTCAAGTACACTGCAATTATATAGAGCAAAAATGCATTAAATTCATTCTGACAGAGATATAATGAAACATTGGGAAAAGGTTTATATGAATAAAACACCAAGACATGTATATCACTATAGATGATGTTGTTTATTATAAGAAGATTTTAATATAAATAGCTAGCAAAACAAAACTACTTAAGGGAATTACCTAATTGTTATCTAAATGATATCTCAAAAACTCATTTAACGATTGATTTGGACTCTTATAAGAAGTTTGAAGAAGTCTAGTGGGAACTCATTTTGGTTGTGAAGCTTAAAGAAAGAAGACCATATAAAATTATTACAATAAAAAAAATCTAAAAAAGCTAATAAAGTTGTTTTTAACAAAGAAAAGGCTACTAAATCAGTTTATAATAACAAATAATATTATTTTAATATCAAAAGAGCTACATAAATCTTATTTTAGCTAATGTATGAGGAAAAACCAAGCTTTTTAAAAACCACACAATCATTATTGTTTATCCAATTAAGGGGGGAGGAAAACACAACAATCAACATGATTAGGAAAAATTTTAATATTAGAATCAAAGGGTTTTTTCATCGTTTCACAATGGCTTTTTCATTATTACCATATTATCTCAAGAGCAATTTCATATTTGGCTATATATATATATATATATATATATATATATATAAACAAAAAAGAATATGCACGTGTACGACACTAGAAGATATATAAGAGGCATGCGTACACTTTAGGTAGTGTGTACAACTCCTTCTAGCATAAAAAAAATATCCTTCTATCATGTTTGAAGTATAATCATGTATTTTTCCTTATAAAGCGACGCATGTTGACATTGGTGATATGATTTGTCATAGATGGACCTATTGTTTTTCACTCTTCTCCTAAAAAATTATAGTTTGGCCATCTTTATTGTCTGTATTTCAATTTCAGTTTTTATACTTTTGATTTTTATTTTTTGTTCTTGCCTCTTTTGTAGAAGTTTTTATTTAATTTCATAATTCAATCCCAATTTATCAAATATTATATTTTTCAATTTGGTCTTTTTTCTTTTGATTTTTAATTTTGTTGTTTGACCCTTTTGTAAAAAATTTATTGGTTTTTAATTTCATCATGGAATCCAAATTGATGGAATTATATTTTTCAATTTGCTTCTTATTATTTTGATTTCTTTTTTTTTTCTTATCCCTTTTATAAAAGTTATTATTCTTTTTAATTTTAACCTTCAATCAAAAATTTATTTTTATTTTTATTTAAATTTTAATTCTTATTCTTTTGATTTTGTTGGGTTCTTTTGCTAAATTGATTTTTGTGTTCAGTTTCACCCTTCAATAATATAAAATTTATTTTTTATTTCAATTTTGATTTTTATTCTTTTAATTGCTATTTTTTAAAATTATTTCATATAATTGAATTTTTTTTAATATTTGATTAATTAAAAATTGAACTTTATGATTTTTTTCTAGATACAGTGTTTCAGGTTTAATGACTCAAGTTACGTGTTTAAAAAGTTAACATGAGTTTTTTTAAAATAAAAGCTTTATAATTTTTTTTATGTTTTATCAAGTTATTTCAATCTTATGATTTGGTCAGCAGATTTGACAAGATATCTCATGTTGGCTTGACTCTAATTATCGAGATTATAAGTTTATCATGCTAATTCAGGTTAACCAAACTCAATTTTTAATGATTCGTTTTTTTATTCAATATCATTCTTCTGTATCTAATGGGTTGTAAATTGAGATATATTGTTTGTTTGTGTTTTTAAAGTATTTTTCCCCAAGTTATTCTAATTTAAATTTGATTTATCTATTATTATTTTTTTCTAATTAAAATAAAGCCAGCTTATTCAATTCAATTGGATTTATAACCTAGGTTGTATGTTTTTTTTTATTTTAAATATACTTGAACAACTAAATATCATTTCTTATGGGAAAAAAAAAGTTCAGCTTCAGAGAGACAACTACTAGGATTGAACTTTTATACATCCTCTGGAAAAAGAGGTGTCCAGGTTAGCTTTTCATTTTTGTTATGATGGGCATTAAATATAGTTTTTCCTCCCTCGTAACATTACCAACTAGCTACTCATATATATCGATCGACTTGTAATAAAAAAAATTAAAAAACCAACAAAAAAACATAGGGATTGCCATGCTATTTTTTATTATAAGATTTAAAATAGGCACATTAAAAACAAACAAAAAAAAAATAGACAGAGAGAAACCAACAACAACGTCTTGCACCTTTCCAACTTGTGACCTTTGATTAAAACCTAGAGACAGTGAAATCCATTAATGTTCTAACATCCAGACATTGTTTAGCTAGCCAGGATCTTTTCCATTATAAATAATAATTAATGATATAAAGAGATAGGGTTTTGTTTACTAGTCTCTTTCGTTTACCATATTAATTTCCACACAAACTTTGACTCTATCAAAACAAAGAATATCAAGCTCAAGATTTTGGACTTAATTATGCTTAATAACCTTCCCGGAACATGCATCGCTTTTTCAGTCTTTGAAATTCAAACAAAACTCCGGCAAGAAAAACGAGGTGAGCTCCCCTTCTCCGTCAATGATATTAAAAAAAAAGAAAAAGAAAAAGAAAAAAGAGTCAACTCTCTTGAAGGCCTTTCTTTGTTTTTCAACCAAACAAGTTGAAGACTTTCTGTCCATTATTTGAACTAATTTTAAAATAAGATTTCGGTCGATAAATCTCATGATAATAAAATTTATATGTTTGCAAGGCTTTTTCTAGTATTATTTTGTTCCAATTGGGGTATAAATTATATCAGAATTCTAGTTGTGTATATTAAATCAAATAATTACTAATCACAACTATTTTTTAGAACTATGGTTCATTGCTCTTGGTACCTACCACAAAGTCAACGTTTTAATTCCAAAACTCATATGAAAGGGTGTTCAAACTATCCTTAGATTGATCCTCGCAACATGATCAATTGTTAATGCTTTTAAACTCAATAAAAAATAGTTTATATTTTCTATATATGTAAAAGTCAATTTCAATATATATATATATATGAGCCCTCCTTTTATATTTTAGTCTATAATATCAAATACAAAAACTCTTAAATATTAGAAGTAATATATTATTTATTAAAAATAAAGAAAAAACTCCTTCTCATTCTCATCTTTATACTCAAGTCTGTAATAAAAATAAAATTATATTTAATATTAATTCATTCACCTTTCATTTCTTCATTTCTATTCTGGTATATTCTCCCTTGGTTTTTTCACCAAACACATGAAAAATACAATAATAAAACTTTACTTTTCATTATCATCAAAGTATTTATCATTGCTGCTAGCTAGTTAATTAATCATATATCATCGACCGACCACAAATTGCAATATTAATAATCAACGAGTAATTAATTAACAAATGAAACTATATATCATTCAATTTTGAAATTGCACGAAACGTGCAAGAATCTAATTAAGTAGGCTGTACCGAGTTCACGCTCCATCAACCAATCCCTGTTTCTTTCTTTCTTTCTTTATTTATTTTTCTGTCGTTTCATGAATCTTAGATATCAATACGCTATTGAAGGTCAAATGCTTGGACCAATAGCATCGATTCATTAGCCCATGTTTGACCTCGATCTTAACTGTACAATCATGCATACCCGCATTTGGATAGAAACTGCAGTCACCAAAGGGTAATACAGGAGGTAGCTAAAGTTTGACCATGAATGTATCGTGACTTTTGTAACGAAGGAAACTTCAAAGTAGATGGGGCCCGAACATTGCGGCTTTAACCCCTCTCTCTCTCTTAACATGTTGTATTACTTTTAATGGCTGGAGATAGAAGGATGCATGTAATAGTTGTTTGTAGTATTGGATTGGAGGTTGACATTTTTTATGTGAGTGTTTTTCTTGTAAGGCTATCGAGGGTTGAATTTCTTTTTCTTTCCTTTTTTATATATAAAAAAAACAGTCAAATATAGCATGCTCTAAATATATATAAGAAGGGGGGTGTTATTGAGAGCCAAAAAGAAAAGAGGTTGGAAACAGGAACAAGAAATGATAAAAATGGATGTGGAGGATGCCATGAGAAGACCTCGTCATGAAGTTTTGCTGAAGGAGGATGATAGAGTTGATTCTAGTGGTGATGAAGGTAGTTGCAGAGAAGATGCTGCTGCTGCTAAGGTTAATTAAGCTTGTTCTTTTGTTAATTGTGATTCATATTTTCCCTTTTGGAATTCATTCGCCCGCCCCCTTATCCTTTGTTCTAATTAAAAATCTCATTTTGAATATTACAAGTGAAGTGAAGTTCATGTTCTATGAATCCCAATCAAATATATATCAACCGAGTTTTAGAAAGTAGAAAAAAAAACTACACGGAGATATTTCAAGAATACATGAGGGATCGAATATAGAATCAAGAAACCATATTCCAAAATCTTTGTTTTATTGAATTTATTTTATGGTAGTTAATTAATTCTTTGTAGAGCAGATCTTTTTTTTTTTTGTATAATGCAAAATTCTACTTGATTTACAGTTTATAGTTTTCATTTATGCCAAGATCTTCATGGCTGCCCTTCTTGTTTGCTACAGGTCGGAAGTCAAAGAGGATGCCATGAAAATGATGACCGGAGATCATCTTCACCACAACACAGAGATTCAGGCAAGCAGGTAGTAGATAGTCTTTGTGACACCTCCTCTCTCTTCCTGAGGCTCTCCTTTACAGTATTGAATGCAAGTTTAAGATTTATATAAATAAATATTGACTGGATCTGAGGCTCTCCTTCCATGAATTAATAAAGTTTCGATGACACAATTCTTATCAAGAACTATAACCACACCAATCATAATTCCATATATATTACCACACGAAAATGACTTCTTGGAATATATATCGAAGATTTTGTAAGATTCTGAGACCTAAGAATCTATATTGGTCTTACAGTCATATGAACTTGGTGGTATAGTTTTGTTTATATAACTTCAAGGGATTGGTCTAGTGATGAGAAGTTTACTCTCTTTTTTTTTTTATAAATTAAATATAAATGAAGCTAGATTTTTTTTTCTATGATTAAATAAAAATGAAGCATTAGATTTACTCCATTATTTAACTTTTGAATTCAAAATAGAAAGATTGTTTTTTTATTTATTTTTGCAAACTAATAAGGGTTGACAAAACCCTACCCATTTTAACACTATGTTTTTATCCTTTTGGGTTTTCTTTTATATTAATTAGTGTTAAATAATAATATAAACTATATCTTGAAAATTTATTTAACAATTTAAACTATTAGATTGAGATAATTTTATGATACTCCATTATTTAACTTTTGAATTCAAAATAGAAAGATTGTTTTTTTATTTATTTTTGCAAACTAATAAGGGTTGACAAAACCCTACCCATTTTAACACTATGTTTTTATCCTTTTGGGTTTTCTTTTATATTAATTAGTGTTAAATAATAATATAAACTATATCTTGAAAATTTATTTAACAATTTAAACTATTAGGTTGAGATAATTTTATGATATGATATCAAAGTTTTGATAATCAAACGGTCACGAGTTTGAATTTTATTATTTTTATTTATTTTATAAAAATTAAATATAAGATAGTGTGAATCTATATAAATTTCAAGTTGAAAGGACTTTTACTTGAGAGAATATATTAAAAAATAATATAAATTATATTTTAAAATTTTATCTAATAATTTAAATTATTAAGCTAAAATAGTTATTTCACAAGTATAATTCTTAAACAGGTGGTTGGAGCGACGAAAAAGGAAAGAACCAGCATGGAAGTTGACGCAAAAGAATCTTCCTGCCAAAAGGAACAGGTTAGAATCGTTTTTTCACGTTTTTATTGCCAATCATATTGATATATGTATATAAAAAATCTATTCCTAGAAATATTAAAATATCTAAACTAAGCAATTATGCGTGAAATTTCCTTATTCCTCTCAGTTTTCTTTGGATCCTATTTAAATGAATCGCCACACTTGCTTTTAAATTCACGAGGATAGATGTCAATGAGTTTTAACCCAATTTGGAACTAATATTCTCTCCTTCTCAAAAAAAAAAATAAATCAAATTAAGCTTTTAATTTCTTTATATAAAAAAATGGTTCGGTGGTGAACCTTTAATCTCATCATATCCATGAAATCTCAAGTTTAATATTTCTCAAAGCTTTTTTTGTGGCCATTATAAGACCAAATACCTACTTCTCAAGTACTGGATGGAGTATGGAAAGGCCATTCATCTCGAGGTTTAGCTAGAGTTCAGGACATTATGTTTTTGAATTGAAATAATTGTTTGGTTTAGTATCTGAATTAATTATGAATTTGAATTTTATAATTTTTATTTTTTAATTAAATTAAATTTTATATAAGATAATGGTCCGTATGGATGGTGGCACTAATGTAGTTTTCACACTTGTAGATTGTAGCTTCATCATCAGAAACAATATTAACATTAAGATTGTTTTCTCAATATCTGCATGTGCAGGATGATCAGCTTGAATCTGCAAGAGCTGAGATGGGTGAAGTAAGAAAAGAAAATCAAAGGCTAAAAATACATTTGGATCGTATAGTGAAGGATTATCGGACCCTTCAAGTGCAATTCTATGACATTATTCAGCAAGAAGAAACTAGGAAATCTACAGATACTGTCGATGATCATCAAGGAACTGAAGAACACGAGCTCGTGTCGCTTACCCTTGGAAGAATTTCGAGTGAACCTAAAAGGGATGGAAAGAATAATAAAACTTCTAGCCAGGGGAAAAATCACGATGAGCAAGTTAAAGAAAGCCTCTCTCTTGGATCACTCTGTACATTTGAAGCGTCTAAATCTGCTACGAATGAGACTTTGCCGAATCCAAGCCCCGTGAACAGTTTTGGTGAGCCAAAGGAAGAAGCCGGGGAGACTTGGCCACCCAGTAAAGTTCTCAGGACAATGCGAGGAGGAGATGATGAAGTTCCCCAGCAAAACCCTGCAAAGAAAGCTAGGGTTTCTGTCAGAGCTAGATGCGATACCCCAACGGTCAGTTTATACTGAGTATTAATATGCGGACTTTAACTTTAAATTGACGATATATATATTCACACACACGCGCGTCATTATAAGCTTTGACATATTCAATCCTTTTCTTTTATCTATGTTTTTTCAACAAACGAGACTTCCTCATCAAGTAATAGAAAAACAATATAAATAATTAATTTCTTAGTGATTCATTAATTATTTAGAAGATTGATTCTCTGTAAGAATATTTTTATTACTAAAAAATAATGATATAAACTATATTTTAAAACCTTATTTATGAAATTAAATTTAAGAATATTTTTATTACTAAAAAATAATAATATAAACTATATTTTAAAACCTTATTTATGAAATTAAATTTTTAAATTAAAATAATTTTATGATATGATATTAGCGCTCATGATTTTGATATATTATTTTTATTTATTTGATAAAAATTAAATATAAAATAATATATATATCTATATAAATTTTAAGTTAAAATAATATATATTTATATAAATTTTAAACTAAAAAATTTTAATTAAAAAAATATATTATATTTATATTTTAAAATATTATCTAAGACTCTTATATATAACACATGTATACCACCAAAGCTAAGAGGCTCAGAGAAATTTGTTCCTTAATCAATGTAGTCTGTTATGATAATATTGCAATGACAAGTTAGTGATGCCTATACAGATGAATGACGGGTGCCAATGGAGAAAATATGGGCAAAAAATTGCCAAAGGGAACCCATGTCCTCGAGCATACTATCGCTGCACTGTTGCACCATCATGCCCAGTACGGAAACAGGTAACCACAAATCACCTTCTCAAGTAAGAACGGTATTTAAAAAAAAAATTAAATTAAGAACGACCTGATGCGCTACCTTCCATTCCATTTTTAATAAAAGTAAGATCATATTCAGCTAAAAAAAGAAACAAGAAAAAAAAGAATTAAAACAGAACGTGCTATATTTTTTATTTGACAGTGCCTGAACCAGTATGTAATGTATTCCCTTTTTCAATAACTCTAAGTAAGCGTAGCTTCTTGTATATTAAATTCAGGTACAAAGATGTGCTGAAGATATGTCCATCTTAACCACCACCTATGAAGGAACGCACAACCACCCACTTCCTAATTCTGCCACGGCTATGGCTTCTACAACTTCTGCAGCTGCTTCCATGTTACTGTCTGGCTCATCATCGAGCCCTGCAGGAACTGCTGGTTTCAATAACTCCGGCACCATCGCCATTGACCTCCATGGACAAAACTACTATCTATCCGATAACTCAAATTCAAAGCAATTCTATTTGCACAACTCTTCACTGTCATCTCAATCTCCATACCCTACAATCACTCTTGACCTCACTTCAAACCCATCCAGTACTTCATCTCATTTCAATAGATTTACTACAAGCTACCGGCCTACCATTCAAAAATTTGCTTCAACAAGCCTCAACTTTGGCTCCTCTGATGCGTCTACCGCAATGCCTTGGGGCAATGGTTTCCTCACTACCTTCGGGCAGTCTAACAACAGGATTAACCAACTTGGAACTTTAAACATTGGAAGACCAGCTATGGATCAGCGTAACATTTATGATCAGTTCTACACGCAAAAGATTAATGACCTGGCAGCTGCCACTTCTCAGCAGTCCCTGTCAGCCGATACCATAGCTGCTGCAACCAAGGCAATTACAGCAGACCCAAGTTTCCAATCTGCTTTAGCAGATGCTCTCACTTCTATCATTGGCAATGGAACTGGTAGTAGCGCTACTGGTGTTGCAAATCTAGGCGCTGTTAATAATTTAGTTCCAAAGTCGGAACGGGGACCGGTTTCTAATAGCTTCTCATCATCACCTCCAAAAGGCAACCCATGTGCAAGCTACTTCAACAAAACGACGTCTTCAATAAATTCTCAGCCAGCTCCAAGTTCAATGACAATGTTTGTGCCACCTTCATTGCCATTTTCTTCTCCTACGAATGCATCCGCGTCTGCTGTTGACAAAAATGATCGTGCCAACTGAGTATAGTTTGTGTAATTGTGTGATTAGTTTTATTAATTGTCCTGGTATGGATATAGGAATTATATAATAAAAAATAAACATGTACATATAGAGATGGTGACCAATATTTGAACTTGAGTAGGGTTTTTTTTTTCCTTTTCCCTTTTTAATCTGTACCAAAATATAAAATATCGTTTATGATTTGTTGTAGACGTACACTTGATAATTGACCCGTGCTATGCCGGGTTTGACAATTTTTTTTTAAATGTAAGAAAATGTCCAAACACTGCCTAAGAAAAATGAGGCATTGTTGTTGCTCTTCTTAGTTTTATTACTTTGTAATTAACCATTGTCTTTGTTGCTAGAATATGAATAGACAATGTTGGTCAGTTGGAACATTCGTCAAAATAGCATTTGCTTAGAAATTATTCATAATTATTCATATATTATCTATTATATATGTATATATAATGAGAAATTATTTAAACATTTTGTATACTTTTAACGTATAAATAACATCATGTAATTAAAATTTACAAAAAATTCTATTATTATCATGATGGAAATGAACGAAAATGAGCATTAAACTTACTTTCTTTTTTGAAAACCAAAAAGGCAAAAATGGAATTGGGATGGTCTTAATTTATCTACAACCTATCTCTACTTTGATCACTGTTATGACTTGATCCACTTACGTTTTTCATTATCTTCTTGGCATTCATCTTGCTTGTAGAGCTTCCTCGTGTAGGTGTAGGTGATGTTCTTCTTCGTAGCAGCAAGAAACTTTCTAGCACTGCCGCAACTAAGTAAATATCATAATAATATCGATTGGAGGATGAATGCAAAGGAAATAACAGGTCACTAACTTTTGCCTCCTCTAACTGCATGTTTGATCTTCTTAGAAGTTCTATTTTTATAAAGGACTACATGAAGTATTAGAGATTTGCTCGGATGTAGTTCTATATTACAGTGGTGAACTAGATAATGAAGATCCGTTTATATATAGGTGTGTCTATCACTAGTTTATCGAGACTTATCACGTTTAGGTTAGGTTAGGTTGTGTTTGTTACTACAATTGGTATGTTGGGAAATATATTTTTGTAAGAGTCATACTTGTTCTAAACTCTCTGTTGAAGTGCTTATTATTGTATAATTCCCTACAATTCTCCCATGTGTGTATGTTCATGTGATGCCAGGCATATATTAATAAAGTTTGTTCTATATATGATCCAACTAATCAAATATAACTCAAATATATTGTATAGTTTGGCTGAACATCACTATATTGTTGTAGTAAGTCATGTTATAAGTTATGTTCTTCAATTCTGTTTAAAAAACTCTTATATCAACATTAAAGAAATTTAAATACCAATTAATTTATATTTAGAACTGAACTTGTGACGAGCGGACAATTATTTCTAAACAAATAAAATGAGAATTCTAGACCTTAAACGCCCAATGAGGGTACTACTAAAAAATATTGTAATTAGCAATAGACTACTCCGTTGCATATAATCCTAAAATTCGTTGCTAAAACAATTTAGTAACAGAATCAGCAACAACAAATATCAGATGCAAATTTATTGTTGCTGATTTTTTAGCAATGAATTTATCCGTTGATTTCGCAGCAACAAAAATTTCGTTGTTTACAATTAGCAATGGATAATCTAATGCTATAAACCAGCAACAGATTTTCTATTATGTTGCTAATTTTAGCAATAGATAATCCATTGCTAGTTTTGTGAATCAACAACAGATTGTCCATTGCTGAGTGATTAATTATTTACAATCAGCAACGAAGAATTCGTTGCTGAGTATATTATTTTTAATAAATTAATTTTTATTTATTTATTAAAATGAATTTTAATTTGTTTAATTAATTATTTATGGATATTTTAAAAGTTGAAGAATATATATAGCCAACATAAATTAATATTAAAACTAATTGTGTCACTAATACAAAATGGAATAAAAATAATATTCATATTATAAAAATTTAGTTAAACTTGCCTAAACACAATTAAGTCGAAAAATAATTAAAAAAATAACAAAAGATACAATTATAATTCCGTTGATTTCGCAGCAACAAAAATTTCATTGTTTACAATTAGCAACAGATAATCTAATGCTATAAACCAACAACAGATTTTCTATTCTATTGCTAATTTTAGCAATAGATAATCCATTACTAGTTTTGTGAATCAGCAACAGATTGTCTGTTGCTGAGTGATGAATTATTTACAATCAGCAACGAAGAATTCGTTGCTGAGTATATTATTTTTAATAAATTAATTTTTATTTATTTATTAAAATGAATTTTAATTTGTTTAATTAATTATTTATGGATATTTTAAAAGTTGAAGAATATATATAACCAACATAAATTAATATTAAAACTAATTGTGTCACTAATACAAAATGGAATAAAAATAATATTCATATTATAAAAATTTAGTTAAACTTGCATAAACACAATTAAGTCGAAAAAAAAAAGATACAATCATAGTGCTAGTTGCGAAGACAAATCATGATATTGTGGATCGACACAAGATTGATCAAGATATAGTGGTCGAAATATAGGTCAATAAATTGGTTGAGATGTGGAACCATAGGTATCATTATCTGGGGAGCCATAGGTGACGACATTGATGGGTTCAAAGGTGGTGGCATATCTTTGCTAATATTTGATGTCTCACCATGGTATCCAAGATTATTCACAAGATATTCTTTCATGTAATCCATCTGCCGTTTCATTTCAAAAATAAAATCATATATTTTTTTTATCTCCTCTTCTTTACTCTTTATCTCTTTTTGCAATGCTTGATACGATGAACTGAGATATGATGACTCCACCGAGTTGGAATGTGATGAAGAGCTTGTACTAACTATAGATTTTGGCATACAAGGTGCACCATATACCCTACCCTTTGTAACTCCTCCTCAAGCCACACTCTAAACTGCTCCATCAAATGAAGGATGATTTTCCCGATTAGTTTCATACTTTGAAATCATCTTTGAAATCATCTCCATTTCCCGATTAGTTTCATACTTTGAAATCATCTCCATTTTATAATTTTTCTACAAATAAAATACATGCAACAATAAATTCATTTGAATGTTAAATAATACTTAAGTTATATTAAGAAATAATCAAATAAAAATACATACAACTTCTTTTTTAGACTTATTGTCGATGAAGCTACCAAACTGCTTAGTACTTTGATGCAAAGCTGAAAAGACATCATCCCATGGAGGTTCTTTTCCACCAACTCCCTCTTGCTTTCAAGATTAATAAATATTATAAAAGATAAATATACAAATTTTAATTTATTATCTTAAGCATTAAAAAAAAAAAATCCTTACCATGTTAGCTCGATATGATGCAAATGACATTGTTCCTCCAGAATAAGTGCTTATTTTGCCATCTGTTTTGGTTAATTGATTCCTCCTAGTAGATTTAGACCTCCTTTGAAATTTAGGGATGGATCAAACATCTTTGATCATTTAATTCCAATCATCATTTTTTATCCAAGCAGGACCTTTGTCAAGGCAATCTATAATATTTATGGTGTTTTCTTTTGACATGGCTTTCTTGCGAGCTCGTGTCAATTGTTGATTCAAAGCTATCCTAGCCTTATCTTTCCAAATATTATGAACAATCGACTCATCTTTCTCAGGAAAGGAATATTCTTTCTACCAAATAATATATATACCAAGTAAAAAGAGTGCACAAAATTTCAAAGTATATAAATAATTAATCATATTGTGTTATCTTGATCAAAATTTGCAAGATGATATAATAACTAAAGAAATTAAATGATATTAAAGAATAAACAAGAAATAAAAAAAATTATAACACAAATTAGTCCCTGCTATTCAGTTAATAATTTATGGTTACAAATAATAAGACAATTACCAGCACACTTCTATAGCTATTCAATTGATAATTTTTGTAATGCTACATTAAAGTGATCAAAATTGAATAGAATATGGCAATTAGTGTTGGTTCTTACCTTAAATTTTTTAAAGAGTTCATCCCTGCACATTGAATCTACTTTTTCTCAA